TCTCTCTTTCTTTCTATCTCTCTCTTTCTCCCTCTCTGTCTCTCTATCACTCACTCTCTCTCTCTCTCTCTGCTTCTGGATTTCTGTGTTCCCTCTCCCCTGTTTGTTCATGCACACCTGAAGGATTCGAGCAAAGCTTGATGATGCGAAGACTTCTGCGAAGAAGCCGTGTCTCTACTTCATACCATGTTCTCCGGGCAATCTACCACATAGTTATATTTTTTATTGTGCATCCCAGGTGTGCGGATCTCATTGCGACAGAGTCCCGCATGAAGTGCCCCAGCTGCAATGCATCCGCCCGGCATGCCTAAGCGCAGCAATTCATGAGGTTGGCTTCAGCCAAGGATTATCATTACGGATATGAAAGCTTCGGGGAAGCGCAAGATCACGACTGATGCTCCTGGAAACACCCAGACCCCAGTGAAGCCGCCAAAGAAAGGGCCCAAGAATGCTGCCAAGAATAAGAAGTGCTGCTAGGCATTGAAATGGACAATGGGGGGGGACTGTTTAAAGAACTTGGAAAACACTTGTTATGTGGAAGCTTATATGCCATGATGCGGAACTTGAGGACACTTCCATCTGAGTGGATGTGGGCTACGCGATGATCTGAGCTGGGTGTGTGAATGTTTACACCTTTTTTTGAATGTAGGAAGCTGTTGCGTGCCGGGGGAGCTTCGTAATTAGCTAGCTAGTTCACAAGCGTACCTTCTTACGCAGCCAGCAGCAGCAGGCACGCGCAGCGCATCCAGCATGTCCTGGGTTTGTTGGCCCGGGACGTCTATAGGATTCAATGTTGAATCCTGGGGTCTTTAAATTCAGTGCCCTACAAAACCTTGCGTCTGCAACGACTTGCCAAAGATCGTGCTACATGACTGTGTCGCAGAGCCTCATGTATGCCTGTCTAGATCTTCACCAGCAAATATATTCTAGCCAGGTCTGGGTCAGGGAACTCCCTCAAATGCAGCCGTGGATCTGTCATTCAGCTACTCGAGGGGAGCCGCTCGACATGCTTTGCTTGGAGCATATCCCCAATCTGAAATCCTATTCCAGGGTCCTAAATTCCTAGGAAAGTTCCGGAAGGTTATGCGCAGAAGAGTAAGATTGCATTGAGGCCCTATATAAATAATATCTATACGGCCTATTCAGGGATTAATGTTTTTCTCTTCAATTAATGTAAGTCCTATATAGGCATATACGACATAACCAATCCAGGGCGGGTTTGCTATTGTAGCTGAACATTTGGGGATTTTAGCACAGAAGTTCTTTGGGATCATAAGATTTAAATCTCTGGATATGTATGTACGTATTATATAGGCAGGGTATACGTTTACATTATATAGGGATTATATAGGTTATATTATATGGGTATATCGTTTTATAAAACTTGAGAATGATCATGAATGGCTCATGCATGTAGACTATCTCAGGCAACTTGCACTGACATCATACGGCGAGCGGCTTCGATTATGGAGTATGACCTTCGAGATGGCAAACTCAACAGCAACGCTGAGCTGAACATTTGCCCTGTACTGAAAGACCTATACCGAATTCCAGAAAGCCATTCAGAATCTTGCCTTACTCTGTATAACACTTGTTGCAGCTAAGTTTAGTTGCCATGGGGTTCAATAATGTATTCTTCCTACTGGAAACACAAGTTTAGGAGCGAGATGTTTCTCGTGTCTTTCAGAAGCATGGCTTGCGACTGGAAATGGAAAAGTCAACAGCTCGAGTCGGCAAAATGGCCGAGTTTCCATATCTTAAAGCTTCCTCCTGGGTGAGTCTCATGGACAAAAAGGGGCAACTGTTTCGGCTACTTGGCTTGGGCAGTTCCTGCAATGATATGCAAGCAGCGGAGCCACACCTGCTTGAATTCTGGTCGAGATATGAGCTATCACACAAATCCCATGCAGTGTTTCAAGAGGCTCGCGAGGGCCGGCTGAGCTTGAAAGATTGCATTCCGTGCTATCTCCACGGAGATGAGGGAACAACCTTCAAAAAAGATGGGGTACTGATCCTATCCTTTTATTGTCCCATCGGCCGTGGAGTCGCGGGGGCAAAAACTGGTGAAGACCCTGCTGCACTTTCCTTGAATTTCGCCGGGCATGGATTCAAAACGAGATTCGTGATGGCAAGCCTTTTGAAGGCAGGGTAACTAAATTCAGATATGCTGGGTTCGTTCGAGGCTTTGTACATGTATTCCATGTTGGGGCCTCCTACAGGAAGACTACAAGGATGACCCGTCTGTAATGCAGCAGCTGCTCAAGTTGATCATCGAGGACATCGATTGCTGCAGTCGGCAAGGTTGCCTTCTCCAATCGGGAAGGTGTTTGCGTCTAATTCCTCTGGGCACGAAGGGGGATTGGAGCTATTTGGCTCCTCGACAAGCATCATGAGCATCATGTGTTTTGGGTCTGTTGTGTGGGAACTCAAGGTGGATCTGTATTACATCTGTCAATTGCAAGGCCACTGCTGGCCAACTGAATCGATCTTATCGCAATGTTGCAAAGGCAGAACATGCCAAAAATGCCTGCAAGGGGATATGTCATATATGTCTTGCCGGACGACCTGGGTGGGACTTCGAAAACATGCTCCCGGCTTCAAAAAGAATGATTTTTTTGAATAAAGCTTTCTTTCCTTCTGAAATGGATTAAGTTTTTTTTGTATGCATGTAAGGAAGCCGGATGCGCCTTACATCCAAACGTTCTATGAGGTAGACCCTTGGACCGAGGAGCCCCTCTTTACAAGCACGCTGATGCATGAGATTGGCATTAAACCTGCATTTTTCAAAGTGGACGCCTTCCATACGGTGTCTTTAGGCATCGGCAAAAACTTCGCAAGTGGTTCGCTAGCCTTGCTGCAAACTTTGTGCCGTGGAAATACAATTCCAGAACGCCTGGCCATCCTGACAGCAGATTACCTGGAGTTCTGCAAGGTTTCTTGGATCAACATTTATAATATTCAAAGATTTAGTTTGGCTAATCTTTTAGACTTTTAGATTCGACATTCATTCGTAAAAAAAGGAGCATCGGGTCACCAACTATGTGCGAAAGATTGACAAAGCCCTGCTGGGTTGGCAGCACTCTGCTGATGGATCCTGGAACAAAGCATCCCTCACAACGGCGCTTTGCAAGTTTGTGGATTTCTACTGCAAGGGCAAAAATTTGGAACGGCATGATGATGAAATGCTTCGTTTGGTGGAACCTTGGTTTGTTTTGCATTGAATCATGGGGTCCCAGTTGTTCCTTTCTACACCCTAAATACAGAATTTATTTGCTTCAGCTTGGGCTTCTGTGTACAGGCTTCGGGTATCCGCGCGCTCAACTATTTCATGTCCACACTCTACAAGAGCGAGTTGTTCCTGGAGCAGGGGTTGGCTCGATCTGTTGCTCAAGCCGGTTGGCATGTTTTAGCTGCCTACGGACGTCTTGCGCAGCTCACGTTTGATGCTGGCAACCCCAAGTTCACTTTGATCCCGAAGTTACGCATGTACTGGCACGTTGTTTACAGCCTTCACAAGGACAGCATGTCCTGCGCTTGGGTACTGAACCCCATGGCAGAGAGCTGCAGTGTGGAGGAAGATGTTATTGGAAGATATGCCTTCCTCACTAGACATGTGTCGCCCAGACAAAGGGTAATTCGGTCCTTGGATCGGTACTTGACGCAAGTGCAGCTACTGTGGTCTCGCTAGAAAAATGTAGATTGCAAGGGATTCAGAAG